TGCAATGATCATTCTTCACTTTCATGATCCTCTTTATTCACAAAAATATCCGATAACGGTTAAACCCGCGGGTAGTGAGTTAACCTTTTCGATACTCTGGGTTTGTCCGCAGACCATCTCACTTAAGCCTCGTCCACAAGTACCCAGATATTTTTGAATCCGCAACTTTTCTTTCCGGATTGAAAAATTTCCCCGTCCACACGTAGCAAAAATATTCGGATTCGCTGCCGAATTCGCCGGATGAGTGTGGACGGAAGCCGTACCGGAAAGAAAAAGTTGCGGATTAAAAAATATCCGGATACGTGTGGACGGGCCTTTGAGGGAAAAGAAATAAAACGGAAGCCGGGAGTCATTAAATAGTTTTGTTTATTTTATTCCCCTGAGACCCGGGAACAAGGAAGAATTTTGAGGAACTAACAATAGGCCTATTCAACAGTGATTGATGCGTTTCATTTGCCACGGTTTGTATTTGAAATTTAAGGTGTATAAAGCAATTTCAACTCTGGCTTGAGGTTTATTTTGAGTTTAGTTAGGACGAAAAAATTATCATACTCGGAGGGTATCGCACTTAATTAAGTACTTCAAGATTGTCTTTGGCTTAGAGCTGCGCCTGTCTGCTTAACAACGATGCGCTATTTTAAGCAGATCTCGTTAGAATCAAGCATTGTTTTAAAAAGGCCAGAAATAGAAAGTGAGTTAATTTATTCATGCCACGAACATGGCAATTTAGAGAATTTGTTGATCAAGAAAAGGGCCCACAGGGGTCCCACATAGAGACAATTTATGGGTAAGCGTTCTTCAACGAAAATATCATGGGCAGAAGAGATTTGGGAGATTGTGACAACAGTATCTGCCGTTAAGCTTGCAACTTACAGATCGTTATTGGGCTAACGCGTTCACTTTTGTATTAAGCGCTTCGCTATGTCTCACCGCCGTGATAAATGCTGTAAACATCCAGGCCATCAGGAAGACGCTGTCATTGTCAACTACTTTGAAGACCTTGCTGCTGAGTCTTGCTGTTTCAGATCTCGGTGTCGCACTATTGGGCCAGCCTCTATACCTTGTCTTCTTGGCCATGGCAATTAAACGCGAAGAAGATCACATCGGTTGCTCGACTAAATTCGCTTCTGTTATCACTATGGGAGTGTGTTTTTAAGCGTCGTTCTTCGGAATCGTGTTGATAACTTTGGACAGATTCTTGGTTATTCAGCTCCCTCTACGATATGCCAGTCTTGTTACTTACAAGCGAGTTGTAACTGTGCTAATCTTTGTGGGGTTTTTTTATCGCACTTCGCTGTCCAGTGACGTTCTTCTGGCTTCACTCGGGCATTACTGACCTGGTATCCTTCACAATAGGATTTTTCTGCCTTGCTGGAACATTTTTGGTTTATTTCAAGATCGTTTTAGTGGTGCGACGCAAGAAAAAAACAAATTCAAACGCAACTGCGAGAAGTAAACACAACGCTGAAGTCGCAAACACTTTGAGCGTCAGCAAGAGGTTATCAAGGTAAGAGAGTGAATCCCCCATATAGGCCTTCTATCCAAAGTAATTTTAGACATGGTACCCAGTTCTTCCGGGGATGTTACTCGCGCGATGCGTGGACAGCCGAAGAGACTTTCTCGAAACTACCTGAGACGAAATGGCAGGAAGGTCATTTTATATGTTTTGGTTTCGTTTCATACCAGAGATGTTTTCTGCACTCTCAGCCGCCCTTTTGTTTAGCCGGGCTTTCGCTTTGTTTTGCGTTCGTTCGGCTGCTATTATTTTGCCATTTATTCGGTTTCAGGGAGTTTAATTAAGCAAACTTTACCGGCAACGGCAACGAGTACAATGGCTGTGTAAGCAAGCGTTATGATTCTTTTTTCATTTCTTTGCCGTTGTTTACAAAAGGTCACAAAACAACAACGTGAAATAGCCACACTCTGCATATTCGAGAGAACATGAACTATACGACGGCCAATTTTTAAAATTTCTTTTTAGAATTTTGAAGCTGTCTTACATATTCTGTTTGGGATATTTCTGACAGTATAGACAAACTGAATGAATCTAAATTCTCGCGAGATTTGTAGGTTGAATATTAAGTCGTTTTTTAATCGAAGTTGTCTTTGGCGTTGTTGCCGTTGCTGCTAAACTACTTTTTGCTACTTGGGCAGCGAGCGTCTGCCTGCACTTTCGACCACCTGTTTGTTCGGCTTGTGTTTGGGCATTTGTTTGCTTTGCACTCGTTTGTCTAAACATCGCTGCCGTTCATTCAGTTGTTATTGTTTGTGCAGAGGACATCCGTCTTTTATTTAAACTCCTATCAAAGTTTCGAGATGTATTGAAACATACCGAGATTGCTTGTAATCAAAATATTAAAGAAGACATCTCCATGGCGTTGGAGGTTTTCCTTTGCTTTGAAACGAGACGAAACATAAAAAGATCCTCCACGAAAACATCCACGCAACGCGCGAGTAATGTCCGCAGAAGAACTGGGTACAATGTCTAAAAATAACTTAAGGTCATTCCCCAGTATTGCATTGC